TGGCCGGGAGCGGCCACCACACTCCAGTCTGGGTGACAGAGTGAGACTCCAACTCAAAAAGAAAACAAAAACAAACTTTTTTAGTCTTTGTATTAATTTTATATACCTTTAAATAAATAAAAACTATAATTAATTTACAAATATATAGCCCAAATTGTTTAAGGAATTTGTGTAAGGTAAATAATACACTTTACTTCTCTTTTTGCTTTATACTTGGTTATAATCTTACATTATTATAATGCAGCACCATCTCACCTTGCCTCAGTTTACCCTTTCAGTTCCCTATTACTGTTACTGTGGTAACAGATTACCACAAGCCTTGTGGCTTAAAACAACACAAATTTAGCTGGATATGGTAGTTTGCAACCGTAGTCCCACCTACTCTGGAGGCTGAGTTCAAGACCAGGCTGGGCAACATAGCAAGACCCTGTCTCTAAAAAAATCAAACAACTGAAAATGTATAAAATTATAATTCTGGCACATGGATCCCCTCATCCACCCCACCACTCTTCCCCTCACTTCATTTTATTGACGTAATTTGAGTTTTTATTCGTTAAGGCAAAAGGTGAGCTACAGTAACTGAAAGACGCTGTCATATGAGTAGGGTTATAAAGAACACAAAATTTCTTTTTCTTTTCCTCCTGCAGGACAGGTAGGCAGACTCCGCTCCATGAAGTCATCCAGTGATCCAGGCAAGTAAATGACCCTGCCATCCTCAGCACACGGTAGGAAGGAAGGGCAGGAAGTCACATATATAGCTCTTCTTCACACCCCATTAGCAAAACTCAGGCCACAGGTCAGCCTAGCTGCAAAGGAAGCTGAAAACTGTTGCCTCTGACTGGGCAACTACATGCCCAGGAAGAAGGGGAGGGCAGATCTGGGGTCAGAGCCAGGTGACCCCCCTACTCGTCCTTGAACTCCTTGAGGGTAGCTCCATTGCTGAGTCCTCACCACCAACAGAGCATCTGGTACACAACAAGAGTCCAATAAATGCTTGCTGAAAGGGGGAGAGCTGAGCACTTCCAGGGCCCCTTTTCCAGCACCAGGGTGGGCTTTGCAACAATATGTGATTGCTCCAGGGTGGCCGATGGTCATTGGCAGGGGCTGAATGTTTGTGTCCTCCCAATATCCATATGTTAAAACCCTATCCCCAGTGCGATGGCATTAGGAGGTGGAACCTTTGGGACGGCATTGAAGTTAGATGAGGGTAGGGGCCCCATGATGGGATGAGTGCCCTCATAAGGAGAGGAAGAGACACCAGAGCTGCTTCTGCTTGCCACAGAGCAAGCAAAAAGGCAGCCATTTGCAGTACAGAAGAAGAACCTCACCAGAACCTGACTGGCTCCGTGATCTGTGAGAAATAAACAGCTCCTGTATAAGCTACCCAGTCTGCAGTATTTTGTAGCAGCCCAAATAGACTAAGACAGTTATGCTGAGCCTAGCTGGGGTGTCATGCATCCCGCCTGACAGGTGGGCCTGGCCATGGTCTGGTTTGTCTGCTCCCAAGATAGCCACGTGCTCCTCCTCAGAAGTGATTGATGCTCGAGGCACTTTGCAATATCTGTGCTGTGCTGTGCTGTTCCCCAGCAGTGCCCCCTCCCAGGGCAGCATTGCAGGGATCTATCTGAAGAGAGAAGTGAAGTGACAAAAACAGCTCAATGCCCAAAGAGAGGATATTGGGCCTGAGGAGAACCTGCTCAGTTTAGCAGAAAAAGAAGCCACCCAAAGGCCCAAGAATAACAGAATGGCTAAATAAATTATTAACAGGATGAATGTCAACATGGAATTAGTAATGAAATAATCTTGCTGGTTGTGGTGGCTCACACCTGTAATCCCAGCACTTTAGGAAGCGGAAGCAAAAGCACTGCCTAAGTCCAGGGGTTCGAGACCAGCCTGGGCAATATGGCAAGACTGCATCTCTGCGATAAATCAAAAAATTAGCTGGATATGGTAGCACATGCCTGTGGTTCCAGCTACTTGGAAGGCTGAGGTGGAAGGATCATTTGAACCCCAAAGTCGAGGCTGTGGTGGCCATGAGCATGCGCTTCGGCCTGGGTGACAGAGTAAGACTCCAACTCTAATCGTCATCATCTTAGCTAAAGTGTAGCCATTTTAAAGGAAAGGTTTAAAAAGCATTCAATCTCAGCCAGTAGCCATGTTTTTTGTGAGCTTTGGCTGGGCCATGCTTTTCCCTAGGCTTTGGCCACCTCCCTGACCTTGGGGAAGTGAATCTTTTCTATCTCTAATCTACTTTCTAAATAAACTATATTTTCTAATCTAATTTCTATGCAATTCTTTGCATATTACCCAAAGCACCGGCTCAGCACACCAGCCCACTGACCTAATAATTCTCACAGGCCTAACAATTTGATACCTCCACACAATGGAATATCAAAAAGTTTGCTTTTTATGACCTGAGCATGGTGTTTCACACCTGTAGTCCCAGCTGCTCAGGAGGCTGAGGTGGGAGGACTGCTAGATGCCAGGAGTTCGAGGCTGCAGTGGGCTATGATCTTGACACTAAACTCCAGCCTGGGCCACAGAG